ATGTGATATGTGGCAAGTAGCCGCGATAAAGTGGCAAATAAACGCTAGGCACACTCAAATCAGAGTCACGAAAGGGTAAACAGAAACACGAATTAAGCATTAATTAGTTTGTTTGCCTCTTTTCCCTGAAGACTAAATTAACATCTACAACAATAACATCAGCTTGTCAGTAATTATAAGAGGTGCTAGCTAAAGCGTCCACCTCGGTGTGCATGGTGACAGTCCCTGGCTGGCACACCCTCTTCCTCACCCTCTTCCTCATCCTCTCCTTCCCACCCTCCTTCCTCTCTCTTCCTCTTCCACCCCAACAGTCGCTTCATTTTATTCACTTACCGTTTAATTTTCTTCTCTATCTCAGTGGCATTAGAGCCCTGCGCGGTTCTCTGTCGCAGTAGCACCATTTTGACTCAACGCGTCTGCTGTAGCATTTAGAAAGCACCGTCGTTAGCGGTGCTGCTCTCGGCCCGACCGACCATACCGTGCGACCCGCCAACAGCTTGTACCGCCACCTGAACGTCTCCCCACTTCCTGCTGCGCTCGCATTGGTCAGTCCATTGGCTCCCCGGAAGAGAAAGCAGCGTTTTCATTGGACCACGTCCAGGGTCCAATTGAGTTCGCCTGCAACGCACAGCTGCAAAAACAGAGGATTTATGCTACTGCAGTGCTACAACGTGAACATGTGTTTGAAACTCTGCTTTAAGCTTCAGGATCTTTGAACTCCTTTGCTCTGTAGCATGTGTTCTTCCATCCATTGCTCTGCCCGCTGAGACTAAATTAATCGATTACCTACACTGCGTAATTGCATTGAAAGGAACGGGAGCGGAAAGAGGCGTTTCTAGTCCAGGGAAAGTGATCTACCTCACAACAACATCCTCCTCGCAGTGTCAGTCCTCTCTAATATCCCACCTCTGGTTTCTGCTCGGTCTCTACTGTTCTGGTGAGTCAAACAAAGTATCTGATGTCATATTCATTCACAAACACATGCACACCCGTGGTTACTGTTCTTAATGTGAAGCTGTATTCCTCCCTGCAGTCAGTGCCAGGCACAATGACGTGTCCACCCTGGCCAAAAGGCAAGAAACTGGTTCACCTGGATTTTAAAGGTGCCCCCCCAAGAGTAGAATACCTTCACAAGGTAAGAGCTTCCTCTGTGATCTGCTGCAGCACGCATTCACACATCACTGCTTCAGTGTAGTCATTTATGTTTAATGTCCACCTGATGTGTGTTTCATCTCCTCAGCTCATCGAGCTGTTCTCTGATCTGGGGGTGGACGGCCTGCTGGTGGAGTATGAGAACATGTTTCCTTACGATGGGGAGCTGAAGCTGCTGCAGGCCACAGTTCAGCCTGCTTACAGGTGCATTCTGGGATGTAAACACCGGACATTATCATTCCATTCCTGATTTATGGGCTGGGTGCAGATTGTTTTTTACCTGCTTTATCGTGCTGTGAGATCCTGTAATAAAATTATAATCCTTCCTGTGCAGGATGGAGATAAAACTTAATGTGCAAGTCTGGTGTGCCATAAAATGCTTTGGGTCTGTAAGTTATGTTCTTTTACTATGTGCTCTGTTCGCAGCCGAGAGGATGTACTATCCATGCAGGAATTTGCCAAATCTAAGGGAATAGAGGTCATCCCACTTGTGCAGACATTTGGTCACATGGAGGTGAGGGGAAACATCCTGTTCTCCTGCTTGTAATAGCTACAAATGGCCAGTTTTCACATGGTGTTTGTCCCCAATGTCACCGTCCCTTCTCTATCATAGTTTGTTTTGAAGCATCGGCCCTTGTGGAGCCTGAGAGAGGTGCCTTACTGCGTGGGCACCCTGAATCCCCACAAAGAGGAGGGGGTGAGGCTGGTGATGGAGATGCTGAGGCAGGTGGTGAAGCTGCACCCGGGCCTGAACACGCTGCACATCGGAGCAGATGAGGTAAGGTACTAGTCTTTTGTCAACTAGCTGTGAGTAGAAAGTATCGCCAATTCTCTCGTGTCCTCGCCTCCAACTCCTCTAGGTGTACATCCTCGGCGAGGGGGAGGAGTCCAAACTATGGCTGGCCTCGCCCGGGCGTACAGTGGAGCAACTTTTCCTGAGTCATGTGACCAAGGTGGCCAAGGCCATCAAAGAGGCGTGGCCTCACATGACCATCATAATGTGGGATGATATGATGAGAGGCATGAGCCAGGACTTACTGAAAGGTGAGGGAGAAATGGAGTTGGTTCCCACAGAACCAGGAGACCACTGATCACTCTGATCTCTCTGCTTTATACTTCTACTCAACTACATTTTGAGGGAACATGTTGTACTTTTTACTCCATTACATTTATCTGATACCTATAATTACAAGTTACTTTATAAACTGTACATACAAAACATAATCAAATAAAATATGATGCATTGTTACAGTACACTAAAACTTTGTTTTAATAATATTTAAATTAGTTTCACTTTGACCAACTGCAACAATAAAATGCTACTGTTAATACATTTTGCTAATAATACCTACATCCTTTTGCGGTTTCCATCCAGGACATGTAATGACATATTTCCAGTGTGATATTGCTAATTTTACTTAACTACAGTATTTAAATGCTTCCACCACCACTGAGTGTAAATGGATGGACAATAACAGTAATGGACGCCACACTAATGATTATAATACCAGCTATACACACAATGTGTCTCTGACTCTGGGTCTGATTTGACCCTTTTCATTCACAGCTAGCGGTCTAGTGGGACTGGTCCAGCCTATGTTGTGGGACTACACCCCTAATCTGGATGTGGACAAAACTGGTAGGAACTGCATTTGAAAATCAGTATTCAGGCATCAGGTTCTTCTACATTATGAAGTAGTCTGCAACATGCACAGAGCTTTGTTAGTCGTGATGTGTGTTCTCTAACTGTGTTGTCCAGTGTCTCTGCTGGAGAAGTACTGCAGTGCCGGTATGTCAGACCTGTGGGTGGCCAGCTCCTTTAAAGGTTCCACCAGTGTTTACACCTGTGTGCCCAACACACAGAGACACGTGGATAATCATTTGCAGTGGCTGAAGGTGGCTGCGTCTGTATCTGCTGGTGTAAACCTGCAGGGCATCGCCATCACCGGCTGGCAAAGGTAAGTAGTAGAGGAATTTCTCTGTTATTTCTTTGTGTTTTTTTTCTGTAGTAGGTAGGGTAGATGACTCCAGAACTGTGTGTGGCTGATAGAAGTGAATGTGTAAAGCTCTATGTTGAACTTAAAGTATGGATATATTGGACAAAGTTGCAAATTCCTTTTGTACACTCTAAACTGTATGAATGTGAAGCGGCTGCCCTTTAGTGGCTCCAGCACTTTGACAGTTTGAAGGACTTTAATCAGAAATCATGTAATGTTACCAGAAACCATTTTTTCACATGGTCCATTATTTTCCCACTCTTAGGTACGACCACCTGTCAGTGCTGTGTGAGCTCATGCCTGTGGCCCTTCCATCACTAGCAGCCTGTCTCCAGACTCTCAGCCATGGTCAGTTCAGCCCTGAAGCTCAGAGCAAAGTAACTGAGAGACTGGGTATTTCCTCAGTGGAGGTAGAGGCCATGGGGAGGTAAGGTCCGACACTGTTTTATGACCTACACTGTGACTGTATAGAATATATGGATCCTCATGGTTAACAGGGTTTTGTTCCATGTGGCCTTCAGGACTTCTGCAGACGACTCGCTGTTCCCAGGAAGGAGGCTGGCTGAGTTAACTGTGGAGCTCAATTCACTGCTGAACTCAGAGGACATACGAATGTTTGAAAATGACATGTGAGCTGCGATCACAAGATTATATTTCCTGTGTCTTTTCCAGCTTAAAGGAATAGTTTGACATTTTGGCAACTGCGCTTATTTGCTTACTTGCCTAGAGTTAGATAAGCTAAGCTTAACAGCTGCTGCCTGTAGTGTAATATTTTGCATACAGACATAAAAGTGGTGTTCTCTAGCTCTCAGCAACTTTTCCTTTAATCTTTGCAGTAAATAAACATACTTTTTCCGTATTTCTGTATATAAATAACAGCTGAATAACTGTATGCCTGTGCTACTGTAGGTTTGTAAGAGGGTGGTTTAGCCCCTACCACCGACGGACAAAGATGGTAACCCCTCTCATCACCATGCAGATTCACAGCCAAGCATCAACGTGAGAATAATAGACCTTTTTCACAGCAGCCATTTTGACCTAGAATAGTAGGGTAAACACAGGTGTTACTAATAATACTAATTAGGGTTCCTATCTGTTTAGTGTAGCAGAGCCTTTCCAGTAAGCCATCTTGCACAATAGCAGCACCGTGACTCTGTTTAAACCTTTAATTACCCTACTATTTCATGTCTAAATGGCTGCTGTCTATTTGTTATTTTTCAGAAACACTCTCTGCTCTCTGCCTCGCTTAAGAACTCTTGTTTAGCCATTGACAGAAACCCCATCTGATCTTGTCTCCTCAGGTTTATAACTACACTACAACAGAAGGTGGAGGCAGTGAGAGAGGAGATGGTGCGTCTTTACCCAGATTCAACAGCCCAGGAGTGGATAGAGGAACATGTCAGCCCTGTATTGGGCCCTTTACAGAGGATAACAGAGGAAATCAGAGCCTGCGTCAAGGAGATGGTGCCATAGAATATTTTACTAGCTCAGAATCATATTGCTTTTTTGATGAATTCCAATACTGGTCTCTTAATTCTTTTGCAACCAGCGCTGAAATGAGCAGGATTTTTTGTGTAATTTTGCAGTTTTCAGATTGCACTGATTGTAACAAAGAAAGGAAATAATATTAAAAGAGGACATTGAGTTTACATATAAAACATCTTTATAGAATTCCTGCAAATGTATCAAAGTAAACAAAAAACAATAAAATCAACCAACGAAAGTACTTCTCATTTTCTTTCAAGCAGAACAGAACACACTGGCATTCACCATCAGCCATTACACAGCCCTGATCAGAAAAAAATAGTTTGACCAAAACACAAAGTTTCTGCTTGAGATTCAGTCTTTGGTTCATAAAACGTATACAAATGTCAAAAGACAGAAAGGCAACAGGTCAAAGCATTTTACACACAATCGCTCTTGACTGAGCCATGAAAATCATTCATGCTTGATTACGGTTTGCACATGCATTCATCTGGATTGCAGACTGGGTATGAATAAACATGCAAAAGGTGATTATCAACTGGGTGGTCCAGGAAAATGTGGGGAAAGCATTTTCCATTGACTTAAACACACATAAATACTTATTAGAGTTCAGTAGGAAGGCACAGTTAATCTGTAATCTGGAGTGTATTCTCAAATAGTAATTAGATTTAAAAAAAGATAAGGCATGATATTCATTTGCTGAGAGATACATTTACAGTACAATAAAAGATATTCCTGCAACTGTTTTAGAAATGTTGGACTAAACTATGAAACATTTGCATAACAAAACTTTTAATTTGATCATTTTTACATCCCAGTGCACATGAAAATTAAACTTAAAATGTTTCCCTAAGCCTCCATAACCCCACCTGACATAAAAAAAATACTAGAAAGGAAGAAGTGTATATCCTTGGTGTTACATGCAAATGCTAACAGTATAACATGTAATAAGGCCGTCACTAAAACTGCACCCTCTGTAATTTTTCTTTGCAAAGCCATGATGCCCCCAATTCAATCCACCCAAAGTTACAGCAAGGTTCCAAGTCACAGAAAGATCAGAGTCCATCTGCTTCATCACTGCTGTTGTCCAAAGAATCCTCCTCTTCTTCCTCCTCCTCCTCTGCATACTCTGCATCTTCCTCCTGCTGCCTGCGTTGTTGCAGCTCCTCCAGCCCCAGGAAGCGCTTCAGCAATGCAGCCACTGCCTCCACGTCACTGATGGGTAACAGACGCAACAGAAGAACAGGGATACACTGTGTTATCTTAGTATACATAGTAAACAAGCTGCAAACAAAATTCTGAAACCTTGTCCACCTTATCACTTTGTAAAGCTGACATGGTGAACAAGTTAGCAAACATTACACATTGAGCAAACACAAAGCAACATTAGCATTCATTTTGACTTGTGTTTCTGGCCACCTGATTCATGTAAGTGCAATATTCACTCTCTTTCTAGCTCTGTTTTTGTCTCTACCAGGTGTAAACCCACCCTGACATCACCCACTGGTGTGTGCACAACCTTTTTAAAGGTAACATTATGGTTATCACAATGTTGTTTTCTGGAGCCAGAAGTGACCATATTTGGACAACAGTGTGGAGCTGGTAGGTGACATACTGGCTGCACTTAGTTTTGCTCAGTTTAAAAAAAATGGCAGCCTAGTCACAAACTTTCTCATATTACAGCTAAACATTACTAAATTCAAATATATAAGAAAGAATATATGAGAAATAGACAATGCAGTTACAGAATCTTGATTCATATTTGTTGAGAACTGCCTAGTTTGACAGTTTTGTGTGTTGCACTGGACGGACTCACTTTAACTTGTCAATCACAAGGTAGACGCGCCCTAAAGCATATCCTGCTTTATCGTCTATTTTACTCTAAATGGGACCATAATTTACTAAATTAACTTCATGCAGACTTTAAACTAGCAATTGAGACCATAAACTATTATTGAGCTAATAAATCAAATGAGAAGTCATTTTGAAATTAATTCAATTTTCAGTTCAATTCAATTCAATTGTATTTGTATAGCGCCAATTCATAACAGAAGTTATCTCAGGACACTTTTCAAATAGGAGCAGGGGTAATATAGTACTATGA